ATTTAGTTGATAATAAAGGATTCAATATGTAGGTAGGTAAGAGTAAAAAGAACATACACTCACAATTCCTTACCAATAGGCTTATAATGTCATCTTCGTTTCAGTAGTCGATTGTTTATATTTCTATTTTCCACATTAGTAATTTCAAACATGAGAACTCTCATAAGAGCATAGGCTTCGACATTAGCCCGGTAAATCTAAATGTTTTCATTCACTCTTTTTCTTTCTTTCTTATCTATGATCAAGCTTTAGAAAAAAAAATGATGCCCATCTTAAAAACCTTCAATGATGAAACTAATATCGACAATGAAATGATGAATGTAGTAAGTCATGATTATTTGCTATAAACTCATTTATGCAGATTTTCTTTGTCTCCTGTATCGATCGTAAAGCATATTGTTATTTAAAATGTCAAGAAGAAAAATAAGAATATATTTGTTACTCTAACAAATCATCTACCTGTTCGATATCAAAAGCAAATAAGTCATAAAAACGATCATCATCATTTTCTGTAAGACTTCTATTATTATTATTATTGCTCTTTACGACAAAAAGAGAATAGTAAAAGATACTTCTTTTCCTTTAGAGTTGATTTCAAACATGTTTTTCTTCATATTAGTTCTACTAACATTCAGTAGTTCATTCGTCAATGGAGCCGATCAGAACACATGTACACCAAGTTCAACACAGAAAAATACGTCAACGATTTTAAATGATCTTCGTCAAGAAATGCGAAATAAGGGTATTGGTATATATGTTATTTTTCCTGATGATGAACACGGAAGTGAATATACACAACCGTACGATAAACGTCGTGATTGGATTACAGGATTTAGTGGTTCAGCAGGAATAGCAGTCGTTTCCTTGCGAACAGCAGCATTATGGACCGATAGCCGATATTTTACTCAAGCTGAAGAACAACTGGATTGTGCAAATTGGCTTTTGATGAGAGATAAAAATCCAGGCGTACCAACTCTTATTAATTGGTTAGTTTCAGAAGCAAATCAAACAGTACTGGTAAGATTTCATATTTAATATTATTTGTTAAATATACTTGAACTATATTTATTTCAATTCTTATCTTTATTAGCCACCAGGTACTACAACTGAATTCACTACAACATCATGGTGGGCATCAGCTAATACTGCATTAAAAGAAATCAGACAAGAACTTAAATCCGTTGGTGATCTAGTTAGTTTCATTTGGCCAAATAATGAACGACCAAGAGAATCACAAAATTCAATTGTTCCTCATGAAATTCAATATGCAGGAGAGACCGTTGCTGAAAAATTGAATCGCACAACAAATGAAATCAAACGACTTGGTGCAACAACAACTGTTATAAGTGCTCTAGATGAAATTGCATGGCTATTCAATTTACGTGGTTCTGATATTCCATATAATCCTTTTTTTAAATCATATGCTATAGTACATGCTGATTATGAAGTGAATCAACCTGAATTATTTGTTAATTTGGCACAACTCAATATTAGTCAAAACCTTTCTGATGTTCGTATATTTAGCTATTCCATGTTTTGGTCACGTTTAAGTACAATCGCTAATGATGCGAATATTAGTAAAATTTGGGTGAGTGCTAAAGTATCACAAGCTATATTAAATTTGATACCTAATAATAAACTCTTATTACCATTATCGAATTCACCTGTACAACGTATAAAAGCAAGAAAAAATCCAATAGAACGACAAGGAATGCGAGATTGTCAAAAACGTGATGCTGTTGCTCGTATGAAACATCTCGGATGGCTTGAACAACAATTAAATGATGGAAAATCTGTCAATGAAACCCAATCCTCTGAACAATTACTTGTCTATCAAAAACAACAAAATCTATTTCAATTCCCAAGTTTTCGAACTATATCAGCATCGGGTGATCGAGCAGCCATAGTTCACTATTCAGCAGTACCAGCAACTGCTCGATTAATTACTAAAAATTCAGTTTATTTACTTGATGTAAGTGTAAATATATTATCTATATATTAAATAAAAACAAAACGAATTTTTTCTCTAGGCTGGTAGTCAGTTTCTTGATTGTACAACAGATATAACACGAACACATCATTTTGGTATTCCAAAAGATCTTGAAAAGCGTGCTTATACACGTGTACTTCAAGGTGTACTTGATATTGCTGATGCTGTTTTTCCTACTGGAACATATGGTCGATCACTTGATCATCTTGGTCGTATGCATTTGTATAGAGATGGCATGACCTTTGGACATACAGTAGGGTTCGTATAATTTTATTATTTCATTAAACTACTATCTTTGAATTTTTCATATCAATTTGATAAATATATTGTGAAACTTGCATATATTTTCGAAGAAAACAGTGAGTGTCAATTTTAAGTTGACGTTTTGCGGCACTCGTCTCCCCTTTAGAGATATTAGCAACAGGAATTAAAGTCGTGAAACGACATTAATAATGAGGCTTAGATGGTTTGAGAACGTTCTAGAACCTTCGTTAAAGTTTAAACGAGTGGAATACGTTTTTTCAATATTCTAAATAATGCAGTTTCTGATTTTTGCGCAGATAAACGATTGCATGATAGATATCAAGAACATTTTTTTAATTTTCCACTATTTTCATATGACCAACACAAAAGCATGAACTGATAAAGTTCTAACTTTTGGGAATAATCAATGTCAGGGTTTCTAAGTTCATCGAGACACATAACAAATTAATAAGATCTGCTGTAGATATGACGAATAAGCATAACAAGCTTATTTGTTCATCAAAATCAATTACTAGACTAATAATAATAAATTATGAAAATGAAAAAAACAATTTTTTTCTTGAAAATGTAGAAATAAAAAAGGAATCGTGTTTTCTAACATTCAATTGTTGTTGGAAAAGAACTATCGTCTTTTAGAGATTTTACATTTTGCATACTTTGAATTAGTATAATGAAGCTAAAGAAGATATGTTAGTTCCATCTTTTCAGCCACAAAGAGGCTGCACTAAAAAGTTTTTTTTTCTTTTACAGTCATGGTATTGGTCATTTTTTGAGTGTACATGAAGGTCCACAGCGAATTGGATCTGCCTACAGTGAATATGAAGAAGCATTAGCTGATGGAGTATTTCTTTCTGATGAACCTGGATTTTATAAACCAGGTGACTTTGGTATACGTATAGAAGATGATATTGAAGTTGTATTAGCAAACAAAAGTACATATGACAATAAACAATATTTACGTTTTAATACAATTACACTTGTACCGTACGAACGTTCATTGATTGATGTTACATTATTAACAAACATACAGTTAAATACTATTAATCAATATCATGAAAAAGTGGCAGAATTTTTAGAACCTTTACTTAAAGATGATGAAGCAGCTTTAAATGCATTGCGTTCTCGTACGGCAAAAATAAGTCTTCTATCAACAACGACCTCAAATTCACCATCATTAACAACAACCTCAACGTCACCTAATAGAGCATCTATAAACATTAGTTTATCATCTCTAATAACCTTCATTTTAATTTTAATACATTTATTTTAAAAACATAAACATTATATAATAAGTGACAGCTTTATTTTGAATAAAAATTTAATTACCAGCTTCGTTCTCGACATGCTTACATCATTTTAGATTAGATGAATGGAACTGATATTGTTTTTTTTTTGGTAACTCTTCTTTTTTCAGATGATGAAGTATAATAATATAAGTTTGTTTATTGCTATCTACATACGACATCTGTAGATAAGAGAAGAAAAACAATGCACCAATCATGTATCATAATTTTAGAAATTCTTATTTTATTATCAGTCATATATTTATCTTAACCGATTTTGTTATTTTTATGAGCTGAATTTATTTATTTATTTTTCCTGTATAATACCGCAACAAGACAAATTTTTCCAATAGGTAATTTGTGTTAGACATTGATCTTTCCATTGTTTTAAATGTCTACAACAACATCGTATTGGTATAGGTAATGTTACATTAGGTCATGGATATCGTTTTGATTTTATAGGTAATGCAGCTAATTCTGGTATACTAGATTCAGCTACTTCATCATATTTAATCGAGCTTTGTTTTCGCGATAGTTTTATTTCTGAGCGTGACTATGGTCGATAATCATGTGTATATGTAGTGAATAATGACGAGCAAGGACGTCTTTGATTGCTTTTGGACAATATTTGTATTTTAGAATTATCAAACTTTGAAGAAGAAAAATTGTTCATTATCTTATATGATTGATTTTGTTTAAAATTCAATGAATTGAAAAAATTTTAATTGTAAAGGTAAACACTGTGAACAATAAGATTCAGAACGAGGATAATGAGAACGAAGTGTAAAAATATTAGTCATATTTTTATTATGAAATATAGGTTAGAAAAGAGTAACTCATAGTTAAAAGAATAGAAAAATCACACAAAAATTTATTGTTCATTTATAATTATTGTACACCTATTCCATTTTCTTTTAATATATAATAATAGTACTAATATTTGAATTGCTAATAAACATCTTCTAAATGATTCTTCAAATGTGTCGAGTTTTTTTTAAACAAAAAGTACCTCATCTGTAGCAATATTTGTTATCGTTGAGTTATTGCACTATTGTTGGTAATGATGATTATACGAGAACAACATTGATTTCAGCAAGAGTTGTTTGATGACTCTCGAATATAATTATTCTTTGTAGTTCTTGATTAACTATACATACTTTTCTTTTTGAACTGTTGAAGATTCCGACAAAGTTCTTATCTATTCGTTTAATAGCAATTGATATAAGTTGCTAAAATTCTTTAGTTAAAATATGTTTAGCTAATTAGTTGCATCATCAAGATTTTCTGATGGAATTTGTTCAATTAAAGATGTATTCGATGTTGGTGATAATTGCATCATTCAGATACAACGATAAGTCATTTTAGATATAAATAAAATTTAAAAAAATAAAACAATTTATGAAAAAGGTTTTTGTTTGTTTCTAACGTTTAAAAATTTTTAGATTATAGTCTTGTTTTAGATGATGCTACATTCTCGTCATTTTCTAAATCGTTTAGCAACATCGACGATTCATTCACGTTGCTTTGCTGGCACTCTTGTACTTGCTGAACAGGTCGAGGGTGGTAAACTTGCACCAGCTACTCTAAATGCGTATGTTTTTCATTAGTTTTGATTACGACTATTTTCTACTATTTTTTTTTCTCATATTTTCAGATTAACTGCTGCTAGCCAATTGAAACAAGATGTTGATTGTATTGTTTTTGGTTCTGAAAAGACAACTGAAACTGCTAATCAATTACAAAAATTTAATAATTTAAATATAAAAAATATTTTTATTGCTGAAAATGCTGCATTTCAAGGTTTACTCAGTGAATCTGTAACACCAGTTTTATTTGATTTACAAAAGAAAAATAATTATACACATATTCTTGGTGGTTCATCGACATTTACTAAAGGTATTTTACCACGTTTAGCTGCTTTACTTGATGTACAACCTATATCGGATATAACAAAAATAATTGATAAAGATCAATTTATGCGTTTAATTTATGCTGGTAATGCTATTCTTAAACTTAAATCAAATGATCCGATTAAAATAATAACTGTACGTGGTACAGCATTTGAAGCAGCTAAACAAGCTGCTGGAAGTGGAGAAGCCAAAGTTGAAAAACTAGATTCATCAGTAAAAAATGATTTATCAGAATTCGTTGAACGACAAGTTCAACAATCAGAACGGCCAGAATTAGCTAGTGCTCGAATTGTATGTATATGTACATTCGAAATTTATATTGTTATAATATTATTTCATTCATAGATATTTTCCGGAGGTCGTGCACTTAAAAGCAAAGACAATTTCAAATTACTTTATGATTTAGCTGATCTATTTCCTGGTCAAGCAACTGTTGGTGCTTCACGAGCAGCTGTTGATGCTGGATATTGTGCAAATGATTTACAAATTGGTCAAACAGGCAAAATTGTTGCACCTGAACTTTATGTTGCTATTGGTATATCAGGTGCTATTCAACATATTGCTGGTATGAAAGATAGTAAAGTCATCGTTGCTATTAATAAAGATGGAGATGCACCAATATTCAGTATAGCTGATTATGGACTTACTGGTGATTTATTTAAGGTTTTACCTGAACTTACTGAGAAACTTAAGAAAAAATAAACTTTTTTTTTCAAATAAATATAGTTCTTCTTTTTCTTTTGCGTTCATCTTTCTAGATGGACGTTAATATAAATTCAACTATTAATGTAGATTCTTTGCCAAAAAACTTATCCATCATTACAACGTCTTCCTAATAAAGATCGTGTAAAAACCAAATTGCTATGCTTAAATAACAGGGACTACAACTATCTAAATATTTTATTCGTTTTTATTGCATTATTTTGGTGCCATTTGCAGCAACGTCAAAGCTCGTGAATTTCGATGGTACTAAAAAGTTTCTATTAATAAAAGACTTTATAGTCCAGTAACATAATGATAATAATATATAGAAGTGGATAGTAACAATTAAGTCTACTATTTTTTCAAGTCGCTAATATATTTTGGACAAATCTCATAGATATTGGTTTTAAGACTTGTACAGTTGAATCCTTCTCCTTTTTTATTCTGTACAAAATGAATGAAATACTATTTCTATAAAAACTAATGTAATCTACTCTTTTCCCAATGATCCTTGGAAAACATGGATGTTTTAGACATTCTGATACTTTTTATATGCGTAACAAATCAGTAACAAATAATTTCATTGTTCAATACAAATCATTTTCTTTCATCGAAAACAAGTAACATGTTGGCTCCCTGAGCCTAACTTAGTTCGAACCTAAAAGCAAGAAAAGAAAGTATAGAATATAGACTTGGGCATTGTTAAATACATTCTTAAATTAGACTCAAATAAAATCCAAGAAACTTTTTATGTGAACATACCAATCAGACATTATTGAAAACTATTTTCTTTCCGATAGTTTATAGCTCGTCATTCTTTTATATGTAAAACCCATGCATTTACACTACAGTTAGGACATATTTCACTGGATTCCCTGGATACAAATATATGATAATATCAATATGTAACACACAACTTATTCGAAAATAAAAACACTGACAAGACTTCCTTCCATGATCTAAAATATTTGATACGTTATCTGTTTATTTACATAATTTGCAAGATCGAAAGTGAAATATTTTTATTCTAAAGGTGAGACCCAAAATAAGACTACGATAATAAATTTTGGAATGTCTCCGCTTTGGTTCGCTCGAACAGGCTAATTTTTTCGTTCTTAGTAGAAGCTTATATAGAGTTCTTTTTCCTACGGATGACATCAAGAAATACCACAGTGAAGTCATATTTTTGGTCCCACAAAAGAGAATTTGACCTATTATTAAGTAAAAGAAATACATACGAAATGTTTGATAGATAATTTACAGTAGTCATCTACGAAAATAATAAGATGTCACAATAAACTTTATGAATGATATTAAATTGATGTACTCAGAGCAAGTTTTCAACAACAGTCCATATATGTTAAACTTGAACGTAGAATTGAATTGAACACAAGTTGATACTTGAAAAATTGAATTTCAATTTGCAATTTTCATATGAACACAGCCACTCTATCGATTTGGTTGGCGAGAAAACGTATACAATAGGGGTATCGGATCAGAATTAGCATTAGCATTAAGTAATGCTAATACTAATGCAAAAGCACTAATATTACTTAGTAAACCGAATGCTTAAGTATTATTGGCATTAGTATTATTTCATGCTTTGATGTTAGCATTAATTAAGCATTATTTTTAATTCTAATACATACACTTTGTGTCAGCTCTAGACTACTATCTTAGTATATTACCTTCAACTTTTCAGGGACTATCATAGGATGCTATTTGTGACCTTTTAGGTGCTATATTGGTATTATAGCGGTATTATTTTGAGAAACACTCAAGTATGATGCATAATATTTTATAACGGACTAATATTCCTGAAATAATATGTTTGCGGATCTAGATCATGAAAAGTTACGATCATGTTATCTAAACTACTCTATTGATGTTTTAATGTAAAATATGCGTACTTCCTTAACTATGCAAAAAAAGCATATGAATGTATCGGATGGAAGTAGTACAAAATAAAAGCAGATTTTACTTTTTCCGCAACCAGACATCGCTAGTTTCGGTTGTGCACTTTAATCACGAATCGTCTATTATGTTTTGATTGGATGAAGTCATATAGAGACAAATTCGAAGTATTCAGAGAATGTCAATATCTGTAGAAAAACCTTAGAGAAAAAGAACGAAAAATTCATCACCGTTCTAGTTTTCGGTCTCACGAGTTTGATTTATAGGAAGTTTTTGTATAGAGTTGACTCTAAACATTTTGCCGCACATTATACACGGATTCTACGAATTCATGAGCTTTAGTTTAACTGATTGTACCAACTGACTTTCAACAAAGTTAACATATTGTTGCTCTAATGAGACGATATTTTCATTTTTATGTCGTTACTCTAGATTTCCTCTATCAGAACTACATTTCTTTGTGATGAATATATCAGAATCAGAATCAATATAAAAAGAAGGCATATTCAGGTATCCTTTGTGGAATTTTCAGTTCATTTCCAGATTTATGGTGAAAATCTAGATTTTCGTATATAATAATTCTTTAATTTTTCAACATAAACACTCGAATAAAAACCAAATATTCCGAGAAATTACGGATGCACATGCGTACGATAAATGTTTAATTCTGATTCTGAATATGATATTTTCATCACAAAGAAGAGTAGTTCTGATAGAGAAAATATAGAGTAATGACTTACAAATGAATATATCGTCTCATTAGAGCAACAATATGTTAACTTTGTTGAAAGTCAGTTGGTACAATCAGTTAAACTAAAGCTCATGAATTCGTAGAATCCGTGTATAATATGCTACGAATCTCGAGACGATATTTTTAGAGTCAACTTTATACAAAGAATCCCTATAAATCAAACTAGTGAGATCGAAAACTAGAACGGCGAAGAATTTTTCGGTCCTAACAACAGTCGAAAACAAATAAAAATGTCAGGAAAAAAATTCCAGCATATTATACAGATTCAAGTAATTTTATTATATTGCGTTTTTTTTATTGATAAAACACAACATATGCCATGAACGAAAAGAAAAAGTTGACAACAACAACTGTTACTGCTGCTGCCATGACATCTGAATATACGAGCATAAGATCACAATGTTCTCCGTATGCTCACATGACTCGGAACTTCTTAGTGGTGTGGCCCGATATCAACATTAATGGTACGAATAATGATGATCATATTAATACCATCAAGAAATTAGAAGAAGTGGTCAACAATATATACCTATTCACTGATATGAATAAATGTATCGATTTCATAACTGAAATCCAATAATGGAAAGTATTTGTCATCTTTTCTGGTTCCTTCGGGCAAACAACTGTTCCTATCGTCCATGATATTTCACAAATCAGTACTATTTATATTTGGAATAAGGGCTATGTCGAACATGAAGATTAGACCAAACAATTAGCCAAAACCAACGCTGTATTCACGGACATTGTCTCAGTCTGTAAAGCAATTGAACAAGCTACATACCAATGTGATCAAAATTCGATCACGATTAGTTTCATTCCTACTATCAGTGGAGGGCACAGACAAAATCTGAGTCAATTAAATAAATCATTTATGTACACACAAGTATTGAAAGAAATCTTATTAAGGATTATTTTCAAACAAAGACACTTCAATGAATTTATTTTATACTGTCGTGAACTTTTCAAGAACAATGTTAATGAACTGAAAACTGTCGACAAACTCGAACGAGAATACCAAGAGCATGCTCCGATATGGTGGTATACATACGACTGTTTTCTTTATTCAATGGTCAACCAATCATTACGCATGATGGAAGTAAATCTCGTTATTAGAATGGGATTTTTCATCTGAGATCTTCACAATCACATTGCTAAGCTCCATGTTCAACAGTTCTCTGGACATTCGTCTTCAAATCTAATTACTGTTTATCGTGGTCAAGGACTGTTGCAGATCGACTTTGATAAATTAATCAAGATACAAGGGGAATTTTTATCATGGAATAATCTTTTGTCGACGAGTCTTGATCGAGAAATATCTCTTTTCTTTGCTGAGAATAATCAAAGCGATCATGATTTGATAGGTATTCTCTTTAAAATAATTATAAACCCAACAATATCAACAACTGCTTTCGCACATGTCCATGGCATCAGTTATTTTCAAGGAGAAAAGAAGTTCTGTTTTTCGTGCATTCTATCTTTCGTATCGGAGCGATAAACAAAATCGATCCAAGTAATCGTCTTTAGCAAGTTGATTTAAGGTTAATCAATGACAGTGTTCCAAAACTCCATGCACGTACTGAGCAAATCCGCGAAAATACCTTTCCTAGTGAAGAAGGATGGGATCGTTTAGGAATATTGCTAATTACACTTGGACAGTAGGACAAAGTCCAAGATGTATACAATAACCTACTTGAACAAGCAAAGACTGAATGGGAAAAGCAACTGAATATCACGAGTTCGGAATGGTGATTTATGATCATGGTGAATATGCAGGTGCTATTGACTATTATCTACAATCCCTTGAGATCAAAGAAAAGATTCTTTCACCAACAGACGCCGATTTATCTACTTCTTACACCAGCGTTGGTGCAGTGTGTGACAAGGTCGGTGATCATTTAAATGCACTTTCATATCTTCGAAAAAGCACTGGAAATCTACCAAAAGACTCTTCCTTCAAATCATCTTAGCTTGACTGCTCCTTATGGCATAATTGGCTCGGTGTACCGCGACATGTGTAACTTTTTGAATGCACTTTCATCTATGCAAAAGGCGCTTCAAATCTTTCGAAAAACTCTTACTACAAATTATCCGCATTTCGCCTACTGTTACAACAACATTAGTGTTGTGTATGACAGGATGGGTGATTATTCGAATGCACACTCATATTTTGACCATGTTGTGCGGGTTGACCAGCGTTCACTGCCGACAAATGACCCTCGTCTTCAAATATGGCAGAAGAACCTCGAAAGTTTGTCAAACACAATATAATTGATTTCGTACAATGGCGTATTTGATTTCAATCTGAATTTAGAGTACAAAACGAGATACCCGATTTCAAATTCAAATTGGTGCCTAGTGATCTTTAGTATTATTCATGTATATGCATATGAGCGTCCTTTTTTGTGACGAATGGAACTAGGGAGTCCTTAGAATTATTCATATGCATATCGGGGTCCTTTTTTACAATGGGGGAAAGGGCTAGAGAATCATCAGGATTATTCATATGTATATATATGTATATGGATATCCTTTTTTATGATGGGTGGAACTAGGAAGTCTTTAGAAAAATCATTTGAACAGTGATGAGTATGTCAATTCGAAACGATCCCACAGCTGCCAAGAAATCCTTTCGGACACGTACTGCAATTACATTGAGTGTATCAGAGTAGAATCAAACTTTGAACAAAACTTGTTTTCCTAATCTCAAAGATTATCTTGACCGAGTTTTAAAAAGACGTCATCATAGTTTTCGATCATCGATTCTGATGACATTTCTAGGATAGGTATGGGTATAGAAGAAAGGAATATCCACACCCACGCCCCACATAAGACGATATGCTTTGGAAGCTTTCACATTGGAATGTAACACTTTAAGGTAAAGAAAAAAAAAAGTGTGAAAATTCGATGATGGATAGAGCAAGTGTCGAAGTACATTCTAGTGTAATTTGAGCTCATATTGTTATGGAATATATGGGAGTGGTGTATCGAAAAAGATATTCGTTTGCAAAGATATATAAAACACTTTATATCACAATGGCTCTCATACAGTAAGATGCCCTTTGGATCATTCTATCAAATGACAAATACCAAACTCAATAGGTATCAATGGTCAGCAGTTATTCTAGTTAATTTATATTCATTTACTTTTTATTTCTGCTTCATAAGTACGACTTCTTTTTTATCAAATTTTGAATGAATCAAGTTTGAACACAAGACCAACATTAATTTTTGTTCTCTCATTCTAAAGTATTAATGACATTTTTTTACTACATTTCACGTAATTTTTCTTTGCATATATTTAATAATAAAGAAAAGATGATAAAATGTAAGTGTGTCAGTATATTGAATGTTGTGTTATAAATCTCGAAAAAAGCATCTTTCACTGGGGCGAATATTGATGATAAACATCTAAACGATTTAGTCTACATTGGACTATGCCAGAGATTTCACTGTATTAGAGTAATAATATCAAACATTTATACAAGGAAGTTTTTTCATAAGTTCTATCCAATTAATATTCATAGAGGTATTTTTTCTATTTCAAGTCAATATAGTCTTTTTCCTTTAACTATCGTCAACTATCTAATGGCTTCCAGTAACTCGACAACGTCAATGAAAGAAAATCAACAACTTGTTTCTAATGTCCATTCGGAAATTAAAGATACTGAGTTAAAAATTGAACAAATCGAGAACGCAAGCAGCTAGTGATCTGCGGTTTTGAACAATCGAAAAAGGAGACATGGGGGCGTCTTTTTCTCCGATAATGTATAAGACAAAATCCTTATAAAACTAATTATTTCTGGGAAACATTCGAAAAAATGCATGCAAATGTCTTGTCGTTCTGATGAAATTTTGATTTTGACATATGATTTAGATAGAGGGACTTCAGATCTATAGTTCAAGACACAATGCGAAGGGTTATGTTCTCACATTCTAAAGCTGAACAAATGAAATCATGTATTTTCTTACTCAAATAATAGGAAATTGCGTTGATTTTCAACTAAACTTTCTTCCTTTTTTTCAAATTTTCATCTGAACGACAAGACATTTGCATGCATTTTTTCGAATGTTTCCCAGAAATAATTAGTTTTATAAGGATTTTGTCTTGTACATTATCGGAGAAAAAGACGCCCCCATGTCTCCTCTTTCGATTGCTCAAAATCGCAGATCGCTAGCTGCTTGCGTTCTCGACTTATTCAATTTTTAACCGAGTATCTTTAATTCCCGAATGGACATTAGTTTATTATTAAACTTGTCTATACAAAAAACAATGAAAACAGCTGACAAATGACAGATTTAAATTAATTCAAGCTTTTAATTCGTCAATCGAATAAAATTGCATGATGAATTCGAAGTTATTTGTAGACTTTTAATGTTAAAATATCTATGATTCGAAATGAAAAAAACACTCACACTCACATCCTAACATTTCAACTAGTAAAGTATTCAATTTAAGTTCGTATGTTTTCTGCATGTTTCTTTTAGTATGACAGGATTTTTAGACACTTTCGACAAAAGAGATGTCCTGTGTATATAGTTTCAGGTTATCTTAACCATCTAAATAATACATAAGCATTTAAATTGTTTAATAATTAAACATTTACGGCCGTACTTGGAAACTTGAAATGAAACTTTTCAATAATTTAGTTAACCTTTCAAAGTTTGATATCAACAAAGATTATAGAATCGATTAACATTATCTCAAATATAAGACGACAAGATCGATAAGAGAATATACAAAGATTATGTTTTGACTTGAAATTCTGTCAAGAGTTCCTTAAAAAAAATGAATCTCTTTCGTCAGAGTAAATAGCTACTTAAAAGATTAATTGTTATACAACCACAATAAAAATTTTATTGACATGATTCAATCTTCTCTTATCAAATAATAAATTCCTTGTAAATCATTTTGTTTTTTTTTTAATTTATAAAATAAGAAAATCTTTGAGTTATATTTAGTGTATTTAATATTTTAGAAAAATGCTTCATTGAAAAGCTCTTATAGAAACAATCATGGAAGATGGTAATTTATTCTAATAAATAAAATAAGAAAAAAAGAAAAGTAACAGAAACATCATACTAATTATTTAACTGATGTTTTTTTCTTCTATTGAGATAATACTAAGTATCATAATGAATGCTATTGACTTATACGAATATTCACAAGGGAGAACAAACTGATTACTAATACTAGTAATCAATTTGTAATCACGAGTAATCACCAGTAATCACGAGTAATCACCAGTAATCACCAGTAATCACCAGTAATCACCAGTAATCACGAGTAATCACCAGTAATCACCAGTAATCACCAGTAATCACTATAGTAATCACCAGTAATCACTATAGTAATCACCAGTAATCACTATAGTAATCACCAGTAATCACTAGTAATCATTAGAAACATGCATCATTTATTGCGGATCATTGAGCATGGAAATAAAATTAAAAGCTGTTAGCGCAATTCCTGCGGAATTAAAATGTGAAATACGATGCAGCTGTTGTTGNGCTTATATACTGATCAACGAGAGAGAAGGAATGAATATGAAAAGAAAGGACAGCAAGAACGAAATAAGTGCAATATGATAGAGGCAAAGTACAACACGATGTACGAAGTAAGGACAGAAAGATAAGAGCAATACATAAGATGAGAAGAGATAGTAAGAAGAGGAAAATATCATGCATACAATGCACTTTACCAGCACGTTACAATTGAGAATTCTATTTGTGTGAAGTTTGAACTTTAAATGAGAAAGTTCATTTTGAAGGTGATCTGGAAATGAACGCAGCATATTTTTGTTAAACATATTGAAATAGTCATAAATCAAAAAGAAAAATTCATATGATACAAGTCTTTTTTAGGCTTCCTTCTAGTGTCAATAGGCAACAACTAAATGAAGTAGGACTCATTTGGAAAGTGATTTATTATTTGACGAAATTTCCTTCTAAATAATAATTTATTTTCAAAAATACTTACAAAAAGAATGAAGACAAGCAATGCCCGAGTATCCATTGAAAAGTTGATAATAAAAAATAACGAATACAAATTGACAATTATGCATAAATGTATATAAAATTAATTCACTTGTACGAGTAAAACACCAAGCACCATGCACAAGTAATAGACAAAGAAGACATTCAAAACGATCAACAGCAAAATCACCAGCAGCAACTGCTTGTGATCCTTCACGACCATAAACAGCAACACCACAATGAGATTCACGAATCATTCCAACATCATTAGCACCATCACCAATAGCTAATATACGATGTTTAAATACAGATGTAGCAGTTGTAACAAGTTCACGTTTTTGTGTTGCTGACACTCGACAAAAAATAACTGATTGACATTGACCAGCAACTCGAATAAATTCTTTGCGTCTATATCGAAGAATTAAATCTATGTTACACAAACAAAAGTCAATCATCAACATTTAAATATTCAAAGAAATGTTTACTTAAATCATCACCAGTAACGACTAGACATACAGGCAATGTTTGTGCAGCAATATCTTCATTTATTCGAGCAATTGTTTCACTAGTCCGTATTTCATCCATTATTGATTGATGTTGAACATCTAAATATAAAATTCTTCATTCAAAATTACTCAAATATTCTTCGAATTTACCTAATTGTTGATCAGTTTCATTTAATTGTGAACTAAAATAAATCATATGAGTGCGTTGTTTTAATTGAGCTTGTGCTGTTTCAGAAAAATCCCATGTTGTCATTGCTGGTGCATTGTTCTATGAATAATGAAATTTAACTAAATAATAGAATGAATTATATTGAAACATACTTCAGATAATGAATCATGATCTAAATTAACTGTTTGTGTCATATTGACTAACGATGCAGCTTGTGCTGTACTTAAAGCTGTAGCTTGTTTATCACCAGTTACAAGCCAAATTTTAATTCCAGCACATCTTAATGTTGCAATAGCTTTTGGTACACCATCTTGTAATTTATCTTCTACAGCTGTTAATCCAGCTAACATTAAATTAATTTCAATTCCATTTGCAGCTTCGGCAATAGCTTCTTCATGATTTTCAAGTGAATTAGCTGCATTTTGATATTGTTCAAACCAAGTTTCAAAATTTTCTAATGATATTTCTCTGTAGGCAACTAATAAAGAACGATAACCTTGTTCAGCAAAATCTAAAGTATGTTGTTCAGTAACTGCTTTTAAATTCCAATCATTTAAATCATCTAAATTTGGTAATATAGATGTTTCAGCACCTTTGATATACAAATATATTTTATTATTAGTACGAACAATAATTGACATTCGTCTTCGGCTTGAATCAAAGGGTAATAAACATAAAATTTCATATTCAATATCTTCTTTTTGTGTATCAGTTGAATTAATATAACGAACAACAATAGTTTTTGCTGAACGTGATATCATTCGAAAACCAAAATTTGATGCTGCTTGACAAAGTACAAGATCATCAGCATTATCTCCTTCATATTTTGGTTGATAATCAAGACGATACATCAATTCTCGTTGTTCATGAACAATAAATGATGTATTACAAATAGCAAGTGCTGTTAGAAAATGATGAATTAATGGATTATACTCGTTTGGTAATTCGGAACTAAAAATGAAATACATACATGTATATTTGAATTCATTATTATGAACATCTATTTTCGTTTAACAGGAAATAGAAATAGTTCGTTTCTTGTATTTCTCAAATCTCTTTTTTTCTGTTTGGTTAGGAAAAATTACAAATCATATTGCTGATTTTCCGTTGAGATCGATGTGCAAAAAGAACTTGATTAGAAACAATGGATACATCATAATAGATGTCTCTCTAGGTATTTTCTTAATATTCCTATCAAGGTTCATCATCATGCTTTAATCTGTTTTCTTTTCTATAGAACCTATCCAATATAGTCTCACTGATGGTAATTATTACGTATTTTTTCTTCTGGTGGTAAGACGGTGCTCGGCATAACCTAACTTTGGTAAAGTCATTATAAACACAACAGCAATAAGCTAAGAGCCCAGCTGTTTTCAGGGTATTCAAAGTTCATTAGGATCTACATAGTGCACATACCCCAGATTCCTTCTCACGTATTATTAAAAACACGTAAAACCTGGCTTATTTTGCGCAATATACCAACATAAAGAGTCCTATTCATTTTCATCGACTAATACAACTTGTTTTGACAGTCCCGAAATTGCTGATTCGAATACCATTATTTTTGTGAAGTTTCAACAAGGAAATAATTCATTTATATGGCAGATATTATTACAAAAATTTCTCCTAATCTGATTATAAAGTAGAATTCTTCACGGCCTACAAGATTTTGCATTAGTTTAAAACTCCAATGAATAGACCTAAACAGCTTTTTCTTCATTTATGACAATTGGTCATATTGAAATCTCGCAGTACTATTTATAAAGATTACGGCATGGTGATAAGGTTTGACGATAATTTGAAAAAAATATTTAGACAGATTTTAATTTTAGAGTAGTCGTTAGAATCACAAATAATTTGAACTAAAAATTTTATCAAATACAAAACAACTTCAAATGACTAAACAGTAATAATAGCAAGACGTCTAAAATGATTCAGAAAACGTAATATTAGTTTATGAGATACATAAATAGGAGAACCTAAGAAGATAAATAGTTGAATTTTTATAAAGGTTTTGCTATTCAAAATAGTGTGAAATGCTTCTCGCTATTAATGTCATTCATTTGTTTTTTTTTAACAAGACAATACTGTGCCAGTACAATATTCACTGTAAATTCTGATCGACTCACTATTTTCCTATTCAGAATTATATATAAGACTCTTGCTGTGATTGATTAGGTTTTGTATTGTAAACAGTGATCAAAGATTTTCAACAGAAGATAATCAAATAATTACAACATATGTAACAATAGAAAAGAGCTAATAATTGATTTAAAGTTTATTTTTTGAGTTTTTTAATTGATAATAATATTTCTGTAAGAAGAAAAGAAATCTTCAAAACTCATACCGATTTGAATATTGTAAACCACCTATAGATACTGTTCTAAATATAAGTTTATTCTGTGTTATTGTGCCCGTTTTATCGGAAAAAATATAGCCAATTTGACCAAGATCTTCATTAATTGTAAAAGTTCGGCAACTAATTGGATGTTCATATTTTAAATTTTTATCCCGTCCTATTCTATACATTTGTAAAACGCGTACAATATCTAATGAAACATATAATGCTATAGGAACCATTACTTGATATAATATCATGAAACGTAAAGCAGATGCAAAAAAATGACCAGCAGCATTTTGAAATGGATTATCCAAAATAAATGGAACATAAATCCAGTTATCACCAAATGAACGCTCCATACGTAATGATAAACCAGCACCAAGTAAACACAAAAATAGTAATATCACACTTGAAAATAATACATCACGATTAATATGTCTTTCGATACGTGAATGTTTACTTGACGTTTTTTTCGATGATTTAATAACTTTTGTTTGATTACCTGAATTGTTTTTTACAATAGAAAAAAAAAACAAAGTAATAAAATAAAATAAACTTAAATCTACTTACCAGCATACACAATAATTCCATCAACATAATCAGTTATTCGAAGTACACATCCACGTAATAGAATATTATTATTATCACATGGATAGACATTTGTTTCTGATGATAATGTTATTCTACCATGAAAATGGTAGATATCTTCGTTTGGTAAATCACATTGCAATTCAAAATTTGCGTCTTCGGGTTTAGAAAGATTTAAAAAACAAGATGGAATACTTTTTTGTTTCAAATTTGTTTCACCATCAATAGCAGCTGTATCCAAATAACAAGTACTTTCACATGATGTCGAAGAAAGTAGAAGAATATCAGCTGGTACTGTTTCATTGACATGTACTCGAACAATACTTCCAACCGATAAATCTTCCCATTTACATTGAACAAATGTTCGTGATGTTCTATAGATGGAAAATAAAAAAAAAGAAGAATGGAAATATAAGTTGCAATATTCGAACTTCATTCAGCATTTGGAATATTATTAATTAGATATTTTAAATAAACCCAGAGACACGGAACACGTAATAAAGATGTATTGAGTTCAATTTTAATTTATCTCGTTCATATTCATTAGAGATGTGCACGATAAGCTTTTTTCGTACTCTATACCCTGACTGAGAAAAATTTTCTTACCCTTATCCTATCCTACAGGGAAGCTTAGAGTGACTGTGCAAATCTCTAGTATTCAAACTGAGGTCTAAACAAGTCTACTTGTGTATGTGTTTTTTTTTGCATATCATTATTATCATGATAATTGAATGAAAGCAGAAGAGTATGTTTATAGGAAGAGCAAGAAGTCATGTATATTGAAATGATATAATTATAAGAAAGATTTTAAGGATTTAATACAGCAAGTATCTTTCAAGAATACACAACAAAGCAAATATTAACATGTATAAAAATAGTCAATTTTTTAGTGATAAGGTTTTGAAAGAATTTGATGAGCTAAACGAATAATATTTATGGAGTCCGGTCGTACTACACCAATATAAATATTAAACATGGAAAAATAAAAATTAATCAACAATGTGTTAGATAGTAATACTAATAATCGATTAAAAAGCATGAACAGTCGGTTTAACAACGTAGATAAAGAAAATCAATAAATAAATGAGCAATGCCTAGTTTAATCACAATCTATTATAAATTATGACTGTATCGTGTCAAAAAAATGGTTAAAAAAAAGTAATTTACTATGTTCCATCAATAAAGATATCTCACTGCATATTATCATATGAATATTTTCTCTTCAAAAAGATAAGACGAACTTTTATTGAAAACGTACAATATACTCAAGTAAATTTTACCCAGACTAAATCATCAATGAAATTACGTCATACTTATATACAGCATAATTTGTTTCGCATATTATTTAAGATGAGTTGAATAAAAAATAAGAAAATTTTCTATCGTTTTCTTTCAATTTATTTTCTTCTTTAAATAAATGTTTTATTATTACTCACTTATCATAAACTTCAGTTATTTGTTTATTAATATTTATATCACTTCGCCATCGTTTTAAGTCTTCAACAAGATCTTTTATACCAGTTATAACTAAAATAACTGTCAAAGGTATGAAAGCAACCTTGAAAAAGAAAGAAAATTTTGCAAAGAACATACAAGATAAAAAAAAAAGGATTTTATTTACAGCTTTCGAAACGGCATTTATCACGGGTACCCAATTGAGAGCAATTAATGCAGCAAAATAAATATTTGCGACACGATGAAATTGTTCAAAAAGATTCTTTGGTATAAATGTTAAAATATTATAACGTGTTGTTCGAATACGATTTGTCTGTGATTTATGTTTCTTTCGATTTTTAATATCAAGCCATAGAGATGATTCAATATTCGATGTAGCATCATAATAAACACGATAATTCTTACATTCTACTGTAGTTGCTTGAGAATTTATTGATATTTCATCGACATCACCATTTAAAATCTTTACTCTTCGATGAAACGATGGTACGACAACAAAATTACCCATTAATAATAAAGATATACTGCTAAATTATCAGTAAATATTATCTATCGGATGCAAGCAAGGCTCAATTACATGTCATAAAAATTATGTGTATGCTTCAAACGTCTATTTACTCTATCGATTGTTCGAATATATCTACAAAAAATAAAAAATAAAAGGAAAAGTCAAATAGTTGTACCCATAACAAGAAAACAAATCATGACAACTAATTTTCTGTTCTGCATCATCAGTGATGTTGACGTAGTCTTTTTTTTCTTTCTTACTATTCTGTTTAAACGATATATACCAGCATGACACTATGCAAACAAATTGCATATTGATAATTATTATTACATACGTCAAATAGTTATGATAATTTTTAAAATAAAATCATTGATACCAATAAAACAAATGGATCACCTTTTCCTTTTTTTGTCCTTTTATAAATGATGAAATGAAAGTAATGTTTTCTAGAAATAATTCACTAAGCAAATCTTTGTTTTTTTTTTTATATGTATATATTAATATAAAATGATGGTTTACATTCACCTGTTGAGGGTGCTCTTTTTTTTCCTTGTCTCTTACATTCCTTTTTTTTTCTGTCTACGAATGTGATTATGGTCGATAACGAACACAGATTATTTTTTCCTTTTTTCTTCTTCTTTTGAGTTATTATACACAGCTTACAAGAAAGAGAAAAGAAAGTGAAACGAAGCATATATTATTTTTAAATATTCTGTTGGGATTTTCGTTCTATCTATATAAATAATGCAATCATTTGTGACCATGATTGAAAGTTGAAAATAAATGTCAGATAACATTTGCACTTATAGTAAAAAGAAAAAAAAGTGTTTTTCATGATTTACATCTGTGTAATAATAATTTTGTTAACATTAATAGTGTAATATAAGCAGATTGAAAATCTTGCAACGTCATTGACGACTTCCTTTTTTTCTTATGTGAGAAAAGACTGATATAGTAGAAAATTTTTTATAGACGCTTAATAATTAATATGACATTAATACTTTCTATTTATTATCGAATGCTTAAGATACACGAACAAATATTCTAAAAATATGATGAAAAGTGTAGACCTAAAGAAAATATAATTATGTCGTTCTCTTAATGACTACAATCATCAACTAAACTTTTAGAATAGTCTATCATATTCTTTCTTCATTTTATATATATTTAAATATATTTAAATTAAAACTAATGTTTTTTATCTAGAATAATCTGTTTAAATATTTGTTGTAAGATGGCAAGAAAAAGAACTTTTTTTTTGTAATTTTGAATTTTGTTGTGCCATGAATATCAAACAGATTATACAAAAATTTAAAATTAAACTAAAATCATTACCATACGAGATACTTCTAATTCTAATATTTAGATTCCTTATCAAAAAGAGATAATAAGACATACACATCAAAAAGAATCACAACAATTTTGGTCAAATATTGTAGAAAAAAAGCAAATAAAATACATGAAAAGAATGTATTCTCTCATAAACACAGAAGATAATTATCCTTTATGTAAGACTTTAAAAAAAACTTTAAATTAAATTCAGATTTGACTATTGATTCTGTAGTTAGCAGGAAAAAATAAAAAAGAGTCAATTTAATCAATAATTAGATAAGAAAAGATATTAAATAAAAACAGTTTTCAATTAAAAGCCTTAAACATATTACATAAAGTAATAAAATTGACAAGATGAATATCATGGAACAAATGAGATACTGTTAAAATGTGAGAAAAACGTTGAAAACATGTGACATGTTAATAATAACAAATGATGAAAGAACAAAAAAAAAGGGAAAACTTAGTCAAACTAAAAACAACGACACATTTTATTTTTTGTCTACTTCTATTAAGAAGAGTTGTGGTTCAATATATTGATGAATTTTTACTTTCATAATTGCAGCTATTCATAATTTAATTTAACTTAGTAGATGCTCTATGGTGTAGTAAAATGTTTAGTGATGAACAGGATCAATCGTTTTTGGTCCCCGATTCTAGTCAAAAAAACACATTTTTCATTCAGGTTTCGTGCTTAGTAATACATGTACTAGTGAAACATGTCAATAACATTTTCTAGTAATGTCATTGCGCTTCAGCCATCTTGCGAGACCCCCGTACCCTATAATGTTCCTTGCGCTTAGAGATTCATTACTGCTTCCAATTCATTGATAATTCATATTGCTCTGCATGCTTATGTGTTTGACAAGCTTGTTATTTACGAAAAACAAAAGATTTATTTTACTTCTCAAAATTGCAATAGCAAATATTAAAGTGATCGTTACTCAATAATTTTTGCATAAACTTTTAGAACACATGAGTCGTGAGAATATGACTATTGACGCAAATTTTACACATAATCATAAAATATATCACGTTCCCGATGAAAAAGTGTCGATCCTGAAAGGATCGGAACTTGCACTATCTTGTTCATATCTAGTTGAATATTCTAAAACTCTTAACAGATTAAAAGATCCGAAGTCTTCTATTAAATTTCTAAAAAAAGTCATACTTTTTATAGTCACGCAAACTATTCTTAGTTTTAATTTATTCTTGCTCACTTTATGATTAGCTAATGAGTCTGTTTCACTTATTCCACACACGTGGGATGAGAAAAAAATGAAGACAGTCGTTGGCAAGAAGAATGTTGTTAGAACACTACAGTCAACATATCCTAATATTTTGGTACAATGTCCCATAGTACTTTTTTCGAAAGAATAAAATCTGTCACTGACATCATTTAACCTTCTCAATAGCTAAACAGCTGAAAAAAAGAAAATTAAATATTTTTGTCAAATTTATATCAGTCAATTGCTAATGTTGAGGTTTGAATAGTTTAGACGAAAATCATTCATAACGAAATGTACCACTACTCTAGTTATTAGTTTCACGCTAACTTTCATGAGTATGGTTGTCTACAAAGAAATAGTTTAAAGAAAAAGAGCAGTTGAGTACACATTCAATGTTTTTTTGTTTTTCAAAAAGTCCCATTAGATCTTTTTACGAAAACAAGTATATTCTCACACTTAGAATAAATACTTTCATAAAACAAAACTCGAAGTGTATATCTGAGGATGTGTTTTCTTCAATGATGAATACATTGATTTGTGATAAAAAAAAAACATTTCTGAGTATCTAATCAATAGTGAAAAAGTGAAGGGATGTTTTAATTAATACACAACTGGATTTTATCGAATACGTGTCTATTTCACAATTATGCTAATATTAGGTCGGTCTTATGACCATGAAAATGTTTTATTCTGTATAGAGAACCTAAAGAACTTCTTTTTAGAGTTTGCTGAAAAAGAGCACTGAAGTGACTCCATCATATGTTTTCAATAAAGAAATGCAATTTTCAACAGACTGTTTTTGTCTAGTAACTATTTTTCAAGTTTTTTCTAATTTGGAACTGACATGTCGCTATGACGACGGTAGCAAAATATATTTCATACTGAACGCAGATATTATTATGGATAAAAATACTAAAAAGAATCAATAAGCTGCAGAAATTATTTTTAAAAAACCGACTCTCAGATGGAGTCTTTTAATGTGTCGAAGACTTAGTAGTAAGAATGTAGAAGCATTGCAAACGGTTGATCAATATTGACGAGAATAGTATCAGTTTTTTTTCACCAATAATTTATTCTCAACTCTCTCATTTAACAATAATTCTTTCAATTAGATAAAATGATATTCGAACAGTTTCTATCAGAAAAATCACTTGAATAAGATTTTAACCTATTATTTATAAGAAGATACTAGTTATCCTAAAACCTGATCGGTTAATCTCATTTATTCCATCAATACAATGAAAATACTTTTTTAAATAATGCTTTGTTTTTTAAAAGAACTTACTGTTTTCACGTAACTACCAGAAAAGAGTTAATTTCAACATAACTATTCCTCCATAATGCTTAACCATATTTACGTATACTTACGTACAAAATGTGATGCTTTTAAGTCTTGTAGGTGCTTGTATTCTTTTTCATTTCTTTTATCGTAATCATGTATCCTTTTTTGAGTCTTGAACTTCAACAAGCATTGTATCCAATTAATCTTTTGGTATGATGAAAAACTTGGCTATTACAAGGAAGGTTATGAACGTTTAGTTTTCAATAGTTTACATGAATTTCAGCAACATAATTAACAGTACCAAAGATGATGATCGTACGAATCACCTTTGGACTATCATTAACAAAGCAAAAGTTGGTATTATTTGAGTAATAAATGAAAAAAATTCATATCCAACAAAGGAACATATAAAAGATCCCTAGGGCATCAGTTCTTGAGCAATCAAATCAAAATTTCAAAACAATTTAAAATTGCAAGAAACTTATATTTTCAATTTTGTCATTCTCTAATGAAAAGAGTTGCAGAAGATCAATCTAATCGGGTATCTGACAGGGTAAATACTAATGAGTCATGTTTGTATTGTTATTGTTTCAAAAACAGAATTCAAATAAGAAGCTTTAGTATCAAAAAATCATTCCATACATTCCAGCAGATTGTTTTTTCGTAAAAACATGTGTTGATAAGTGATCTAATCGAGAGTACAGTTGTCATGATGACGTCTTGGAATACTGCTTTAAAAACTAAATGAAAATCAACCTTCCAATATTTACTCAAAAGACTGATGAAAAAAAAGCTTTTAGGTGCTTCATGCATTCATCATATCTAAAGAAAAACTAGATGCCATTCGAATGAAAACCACAGTGCGAGGATGAATGTGGGTTGGGTAGATGAAAAGATCCACATCTTCACACCCTCACTCACACCCAACCCCGGACTGATTAAATATTGCAATGGGCGCCCATGGGTCGAATTTTGAATAAAATATAAATTTTCAAAAGATATTGCTTATTTCTATATTCAAGAAAATGCCCTTGACTAGATCTTCTCGTTCATTAACAATTACAACATCATCATCACATTCAACACAGTATACATTCGAACAGCTCAAACTTCTTATGAAACAACAACTATTGACATACGCTGTTATTGAAAAATGA